GGAGTCGGAACATTTATCTACCGACTCCACAGCCCTGGAAAAAACTTATGTTGGCTTTCCAAAATCAACATGTCAATTCATATTTTCTTTAGAACGTCGCTGCTCGTTTGCAACCCTTACCATGATGTTGCCCATGGGGCCGGTCTCGCCTTCCCCGTAGGTGGAGATGATGACGTTGACGTTCTCCACAATGCGCTGGAAGGTCTGGTACAGCTCCTCAGGCTGCAGTTGCAGCTCCAGCAGAGCCCGGTCCATCTTGTTCATCATCAACACGGGCTTGATCCTCTCAGCGATAGCCTGGCGCAAGACAGTCTCGGTCTGGACGCAGACCCCTGGAGAGGAAGAAGAGGCAGCTCAGATAGCCCTCCATAAGTGTTGTCACTTCCAGCAAGTGTGGTAGAGTCACGCAGAGAATAGGAACATTCTACATTAGGGGTGTCCAACCTTGGCAATTTTAAGACCTGTGTGGACTTCAATTCCCAGAATTCTTAAGAGTTCAAGTCTGCAAGTCTTAAAAGTCTTGTGTATTTGAAGTCCACCAGTCTTAAAGTGGGAATTTAGAATCCTGGGAGATGAAGCCCACAAGTCTTAAAGTGGGAATTTAGAATCCTGGAATTTGAAGCCCACAAGTCTTAAAGTCTTGTGTATTTGAAGCCCTCAAGTCTTAAAGCGGGAATTTAAAATCCTGGGAGTTGAAGCCCACAAGTCTTAATGTCTTGTGGATTTGAAGCCCACAAGTCTTAAAGTGGGAATTTAGAATCCTGGGAGATGAAGCCCACAAGTCTTAAAGTCTTGTGGATTTGAAGCCCTCAAGTCTCAAAGTGGGAATTTAGAATCCTGGGAGATGAAGCCCACGAGTCTTAAAGTCTTGTGGATTTGAAGTCCACAGTCTTAAAGTGGGAATTTAGAATCCTGGGAAATGAAGCCCACGAGTCTTAAAGTCTTGTGGATTTGAAATCTGCAAGTCTTAAAGCGGGAATTTAGAATCCTGGGAGCCGAAGTCCGCAAATCTTAAAAGTTGCTAAAGCTTGGACACCCCTGAACTATACAGAGCTTTAGCACCACCCACCGGACACACCAACCCGCAAAGCCCAGGGTCTGCAAAGGGGTGGGAGCCCGTTTCTCACCGGACACACAATCCACAACAACCAAGGCACCGTCGGTGACCCGTAGGGCAGCTGTAACTTCTGAAGAAAAATCCACGTGGCCGGGGGAGTCGATGAGGTTGATCAGGAAGCCGCAGCCATCTTTGCTCTGCTTGATGAAGGCCAAGTCGTTCTCCGAAAGCTCGTAGAAGAGGGAAATGGCCCTGGGGGAAGAGGCAGGAGAAGGTGACATAATACAGCGAGTCCTCGACTTAACGACCGTTCGTTTAGTGACCGCTCAAAGTTACAACGGAACTTGAAAAAGTTCATTTTTCACAGCGTCCCGTGATCAAAATTCGGACACTCGGCAACTGGCTCATATTTACGACGGTCGCAGCATCCCAGGATCACGTGATCCCCTTTTGTGACCTTCTGACAAGCAAAGTCAACGGGGGAAGAAGCCAGATTCACTTAACAATGTAACTACAGGTGGTCCTCGGCTTACAACCGCAACGGAGCCCCAAATTTATGCCTTTAAGTGAGACATTTGTGAAGCGAATTTCGCTTGGAGCCCCAAATGTACGCAAGAAACCTGTTAAGTGAGTTTTTGCCCCATTTTTATGACTTTTCTTGCCACAGCTGTTAAGTGAGTCACTGCAGCTGATCGGTTAGTGACCCGGTTGTTAAGTGAAACTGATTCCCCCACTGACCTTGCTTGTCGGAAGGTCGCAAAAGGGGAGAATCACGTGACCTTGGGACACAACAACGGTCGTTAAGTGTGAACCAGGTTGCCAGGCATCTGAATTTTGATCACCCGATCATGGGGATGCTGCAAAGGTCGCAGCTGTGAAAAAAAGTCACATTTTCCAGTGCCATTGTAACCTTGAACAGTCACTAAACCAACTCTTGTTGAGTCGAGAACCCACTGTAATTTAACAGCTGCAGTGATTCTTGCTGAACAAATGTGGCAAGAAAAGTTATAAAACCGGGAGGGGGGGAGAGGGAATCCACTTAACACGTTAAGTGGTCCGTTAAGTCAAGGACTACTTCATGGTTCCCCACACACACACACACACACACACACATACAACCAGAATCACAAAAGGACCTAGGGCTGCTTCTTTTTTTTATCATGTTATTATTTAACATATAAAATATAAAATACAAAAAAATAAAAATAGGGGATTAAGGGAGGGAACAGGAAAGGGGAAGAGGAGGTGTAATAATAATAATAATAATAATAATAATAATAATAATAATAATAATAATAATAATAATAATAATAATAATAATAATAATAATAATAATAATATAATAGTAAAGTTGGAAGGGACCTTGGAGGTCATGTAGTCCAACCCCCTGCTCAGGCAGGAAACCCTATACCATTTTGGACAAATGGCTGTCCAGTCTCTCCTTAAAAACTTCCAGTGTTGGAGCATTCACCCCTTCTGGAGGCAGGTTGTTCCACTGGTTAATTGTTCTCACTGTCAGGAAGTTTCTTCTTAGTTCCAGGTTGCTTCTCTCCTGGGTTAGTTTCCATCCGTTGCTTCTCATCCTGCCTTCAGGGGCTTTGGAGAAGAGTTTGACTCCCTCTTCTTTGGGGCAGCCCCTCAAATACTGGAACACTGCTATCCTGTCCCCCCTCGTCCTTCTCTTCATTAAGCTAGACATCCCCAATTCCAGCAACCGTTCCTTATATGTTTTAGCCTCCAGTCCCCTGATCATCTTTGTTGCTCTTCTCTGCACTTTCTAGAGTCTCAACATCTTTTTACATCGTCAGGACCAAAACTGGATGCAGGATTCCAAGTGTGGCCTTACCAAGGCCTTGTAAAGTGGTATTAATACTTCACGTGATCTTGATTCTATCCCTCTGTTAATGCAGCCCAGCACTGTGTTGGCTTTTTTGGCAGCTGCAGCACACGGCTGGCTCCTATTTAAGGGATTGTCCACTAGGACTCCGAGGTCCCTGTCAGTTACTACTGTTGAACCAGGTACCCCAAAAAAGTCCCCCAAGGACTTACGTCGACTTGATGGTGATGCATCTCTCTTGCTCATCTTTCCTCGTGTCGGTGAAGCGGGTCTCACCGGCGCGGGACGAGGCGATAATGCCGGCTTTGCATACCAGCGAGTCGGTCAGCGTGGATTTCCCATGATCCACGTGGGCAATCACCGACATGTTCCGGATGTTGGCTTTCTTGTCCATGATGGCTCGGATCTGGTCTACTGTGAAGTTCACCTGGAAAAGAGGAGAGGGAAGAGGCCTGGTGTTGGACCAGTAAGAGTTTCCTTCCGAAAGGAGAGGGAAACCCCACCAGAACAAAATAACGAGAGTCGGAAGGGACGCTTGGAGGTCTTCTAGTTCACCCCCCATTGCTCAAGCAGGAGACCCGAGGCCATTCCAGACAAATGGCTGTCCAGTCTCTTCTTAAAAACCTCCAGTGATGGAGCACCCACCACTTCTGGAGGCATGTTGTTCCACTGATTGTTCTATCGGGAACTTAATTGTAGGATGATTATGATGGTGATGATAATAATAATAATGTTGGAAGGAACCTTGGAGGTCTACTAGCCCAACCCCCTGCTCAGGCAGGAAACCCTAGACCTACCTACCTTCTTTTCTTCCCTTTCTTTTTCCCTCCTTCCTTCCTTCCCTCCTTCTATTCATATCTATCTATCTATCTATCTATCTATCTATCTATCTATCTATCTATCTATCTATCTATCTATATCTATCTATCATCTATCTATCATCTATCTATCATCTATCTATCTATCTATCTATCTATCTATCTATCTATCTATCTATCTATCTATCTATCTATCTATCTGAATTAACAGAATAACAGAGTTGGAAGGGACCTTGGAGGTCATCTAGTCCAATCCCCCGCTCAGGCAGGAAACCCTATACCATTTCGGACAAATGGCTGTCCAGTCTCTTCTTAAAAACTTCCAGTGTTGGAGCATTCACCGCTTCTGGAGGCAAGGAGTTCCACTGGTTAATTGTTCACAGTCAGGAAATACTTCCTTAGTTCTAGGTTGCTTCTCTCCTTGATTAGTTTCCATCCGTTGCTTCTTGTCCTGCCTTCAGGCGCTTTGGAGAACAGCTTTACACCCCCCCCCTCTTCTTCGGGCAGCCCCTCAAATATTAGAACACTATTGTTGTCACCTAATTCTTTTCTCCAGACTAAACAAAATCAATTCCTGCAACCGTTCTTCCTATGTTTTAGCCTCCAGTTCCCTAATCCTCTTCGCTGCTCTTCTCTGCACTTTTTCCAGAGTCCTATTTTCACCTGCAAAGGTGGCAATGGCAATCATTTACACTTTGCCTGCCTCCCAGGGACCGAGACCCTTTCAGCCGATTGATTATTCACCCAGCCCAAAATGCTACAATAAGAACAAAATTCAGAAGGTAAGGAAGCAAACAAAGCACGGTCAGCAGCAGACCAGAAAATCCTGAGCTGGCTTAGAAAGGCTCTAAAAGAGAGGCCTGGAAACACCAGGACACAATCACAAAAAGCAAGCAAGGCAATATGCCAACAGCAACTCTCATAAGATAGAGATAGATAGATATGGATGGAGATAGATTAGATAGACAGATAGACATGATGGATGATAGAGGGGGTAAATAGAGATAGATAGATAGATAGATAGATAGATAGATAGATAGATAGATAGATAGATAGATAGACAGATAGACAGACAGATATGGATGGAGATGGATATAGAGATGAATGGAGATAGATAAGATAGACAGATAGATATGATAGATGATAGGGAGTAGATAGAGATGGATGATATAGAGAGGGGGTAAATAGAGGTAGATAGATAGGTAGATGGAGATAAAGATAGACAGATAGATATGATAGAATAAGGAGTAGATAGAGATGATGGATGATAGAGGGGATAGATAGATGGATGGATAGATAGATAGGGAGTAGATAGAGATGATGGATGATAGAGGGGATAGATAGATAGATAGAGATGATGGATGATAGAGGGGATAGATAGATAGAATGGATGATAGAGGAGATAGATAGATAGATAGATAGATAGATAGATAGATAGATAGATAGATAGATAGATAGATAGATAGATAGATAGATAGATAGGGAGTAGATAGAGATGATGGATGATAGAGGGGATAGATAGATAGATAGTAGATAGAGATGATGGATGATAGAGGGGATAGATAGATAGGATGGATGATAGAGGGGATAGATAGATAGATAGATAGATAGATAGATAGGGAGTAGATAGAGATGATGGATGATAGAGGAGGTAAATAGACAGATAGAGATAGATAAGATAGATGGAGATAGGTAAGATAGACAGATATAGATAGATGATAGTAGATAGAGATGATGGATGATAGAAAGAGGGGGTAAATACAGAAAGAAAGAAAGAAAGAAAGAAAGAAAGAAAGAAAGAAAGAAAGAAAGAAAGAAAGAAAGAAAGAAAGAAAGAGTTGAGCGCAAAATGTCTGTTGCCAAGTGAAACATTCTGTTAAGGGAGCTTGCCCCATTTAACGGCCTTTTCCTGCCACAGTTAAGTGAATCACCGTAGCTGTTAATCAAACTCCGTCGTTAAGCCAATCTGACTTCCCCATTGACTTTGTCAGAAGGTCGCAAAAGGGGATCCTGTGACCCCGGGACAGTGCAACCATCGTAAGTATGAGTCAATTGCACAGGTGTCTGAATTTTGATCACCTGACTTTGGGGATGCTACCACCCTCGTGTGAAAAATTGGTCATAAGTCACTTTTTCCAATGCCACTGTACCTTCAAACGGTCACTAAAGGAAGACTGCCTACGCAAGTCATCAGAAAAGTCAAATTTATTGGATTTTTTTTTAAACCGGGGTTTTTGTTACCCTGAAGTACAAATGACCAAAACAGGCAATTTATTCAATTTTTAAGCAGGGGTCTGTGAGTTCTAAGAAAGCCAGCTTGGGCGAACTTTGGTCCAGCCCCTTTCCCTCAGCCCTCTCTACCTCACAGGGTTGTCGTTGAGGGGAACAACAGGAGGGAGGGAGGAACATTAGGTACGTTCGCCATACGTTGAGTTAACTGACGAACAATAAATAAAGGCAGGAGAAAAAGTGAAAAAGATTAAATAAATTCCCCGGTTTGGGGCTTTGCAAGATGAAAAGGCATGAAAGGGAGGAACCAAATAAATCCTTTAAAAAAACTTGCACATGGTAGTAGAATTAATGTGGCCCGGACAGCCGAAATACCCTCTGGAAAAATTGGCTTTGTCTTCTGCAAAAGGCGGCAGGGAAGGAATTGAGGTATCTACGGACGCCATGCCGGATGGCTGATGTGGTTCCCCCCAAAATGCCCCCTGACCCCCCCCCCCTAGAAACGGGATAAACCACAAGAGCCGGGCGGATTCCATTAAGGAGATGCAGATAAGCCAGAAAATATTTCCCAGCTTGACGTCAGCACTTTTTAAGGACGTCAGTCAGCACTTTTTAACGTCAGCCCAGAGCAGGGCTAACGCTACAGGTGTGCCATCCTACCACGTTCCCCCAGTCACTTCCCATCACCAAATACGGCAAGGTTAGACAAGAGCTGGGAAAAACACAACGATCCAGCTCTCCGAATGCAACCCCTCCCTTTGGCAGCCCGGCTGGAGTTGGCCCAAATCCTTGCTGGCCACCGGTTTGTTGTTTTGCCACATCACACGTCCTTGTCCTTCTCCTCCTGTGGACATCTTGATTGTTTCAGCCCCTTTCGCACGTAGGTTAGGCCAGCAGCTATTAAAACCACCCCCCCACCCACCCCCAAAGGGGAGGCTTGCAAACAAAATGAGTTAAAGCTGAATAATTAAAAAATATATATATCACAGGAACTGAATGGCACAACACCAGCAAACCAGCCATCCCCCCTCCTCTCAAAAGGGTTTTTTTGTTCAAGATAAAACAGGTTATCAGCAGACAATTTCCCCCCACCCCACCAGTTTTCAGGAAGCTGTTAAGGAGAGTTACATCACCCCCTTATTCTCTCCTGTCTTGTACTGCTGGAGAAGGGAACCAAAAAAAAAAAAAATCTAACTGAGTCATCCTACAATGAGGTCAGTTTTTTTTTATTATTATTATAAATCAGCCCCTGCGCAGAAATCAAAGAACAGAAGCCGGCCAAGTTGAAGAAGTATTGAGCATTGATATTAAGTATTCAGAGAAAAATAAATCTAAATCCTTCCAAGGAATTAACATGGGTAGTCCCCAACTGACAATTCGTTTAGTGACCGTCCAAAGTTACAAGGGCACTGAAAAACAGTGACTTACGACCCGTTTTTTTTTCCAAAGTCACCACCTGTGCAGCATCCCCACGATCATGTGATCAAAATTCAGCTGCTGGGCAACCGGTTCTCATACTTACGACGGCCGCAGCGTCCCCAGGGTCACGTGATCCCTTTTCGCGACCTTCTGACGAGCAAAGCCGCTGGAAAGCCAGATTCCCTTACCCACCGGGTTGCTAACTGATTTGACTGCAGCGATTCGCTAAGTGGCAAGAAAGGTCGTAAAACGAGGCACAAACTCACTTGACCAATTTTCACTTAACCTAAATCTGGGGCCTCCATTGTGGCTGTTAAGTCGAGGACTGCCTGTATAATCAGGGAGGGGAACAGCATTCAGCCTTCTTCCTGCTTCGAAAATAAAAAATGGTCCGAAATGGTATTGGGTTTTACTGCCTGAGCAGGGGGTTGGACTAGAAGATCTTCAAGGTCCCTTCCAACTCTATTATTATTATTAGCCATTGCAGGCCTCCACCAAGAAAAAAACCCACTCCTCTATATCTATATCTATGTATATCTCTATATCTATCTACAACTATCTACATCTATCTATCTATCTATCTCTATATCTACCTCTACCTACCTACCTACCTCTATATCTATCTACCTCTATATATCTATCTATATATCTCTAATCTACCTCTATCTACCTATCTATCTATCTCTATATCTATCTACCTCTATCTATCTATATCTACCTATCTATCTCTATATCTATCTACCTACCTCTATATATCTATCTATCTGTATATCTCTATATCTATCTACCTCTATCTATCTATCTACCTATCTATCTCTATATCTACCTACCTCTATATATCTATCTATCTGTATATCTCTATATCTATCTACATCTATCTACATCTATCTATCTATCTATCTATCTATCTATCTATCTATCTATCTATCTATCTATCTACTGCATATATAGATATATATAGATACACACCAATGGGCATTTTTCATCTGGGTCTCAAGATGCTTTAATAGCATCGACATTAGGCATTTTTTGATTGGCTGATCTCCAGAGGCGCTGGACTACAACTCCCGTCATGCTCAGCATGGAGAAAAGGGCGTTTTTCACCTAGTGGGGGTCTCAAGATGCTTTAATAGCATCCACAGTAGGCTTTTTTTTTTTAAATTGGCGGACTACAACTCCCGTCATCCTCAGCCCGGCCCAATTGAGAAGCACTAAGGGGGGGGGAAGGGGGACCATCCAGACGTCTCTCTATATGGGATCCATAGCCTACACTGGTCCACGTAACTCGAGAGTCGCCACGTTCACAAAGATTTCCCCCCCCCGCGCTTCTCGCGTGTTGTCCTGCGTTGTTCCCCCCCCCCCCCCCGGGCTCTTCCAAACCGCAGCTGTTCCAGGCCCCGGCCTTTGCCCCCTCCGGCCCCGCAGGCCTCCAAGCCCAGGCCTATCCCTTCGTTCCAAACCCGGCCATATCCAGCTCTTCCCTCGACCTCGGTCGCCGGGGTTCCCCCCAAGTCGCCCCCGGCCTCGGATGGCTCACCATGTTGGCGGATGGCTTCGGATTCTCCGCAGGGGCGGGGGAAAAAAGAAGGAAAAAAAAGACCGGCAACAATGGCGGCGGCTCGGGCTGCCCTGTCTCGTTGGCAGGGGCCGAGCGGGCGGAAGAGGACGCTGACGTCAACCAGCCGCCTTTTATTGGAGGGACGCCGGAGTGGGCGGGGCCAAGCGAGGATCCCGGAGCGCACGCGCCTCATCCGGAAAGCCTCTCTCTCTCTATGGTCCGAAGGCGGGAAAGGAAGGAAAGAAGGAAAGGGTGGGGAGGGAGGCTCTTAGACCTTGCGCCTGCGCAGTGCCTTCTTCCCTTTTTTTTAAACATTCGATCAACCCGGAAGCTGGTGATTCAACCACGTGGCTGCCGCCCGAATGGGCAGCAGTGAATTTGAAATCGAGTGGAAAAATAATGTTTGCGTATATGATATGCCTCTGATACTATTTGATATCACTCCCAAAATATTATTAAAGGCGGATATTTTTGAAATTTGCCCCCGCAGAAAACTCAATTTAAATTCAATAAAATTCAATTTTAAATCGGTGTTTTTCAAGCCTTTTTAAGATGAGTGGACTTCAAGTTCCAGAATTCCCCAGCCAACACAGCACAGGGCTTGGATGCACCCTAAGATATACGTAAGGGTTTTAACTCAGAGAGTTTTTAATAGGTAGAGCGTTGTCTACTGAGAGGCACACGAGGTGGATTTATGCAAATTGCTAACTAATATAATTACTTTGTATTTTAATTTGATTTATTTTCTCTCTTTTAAAATAATGTTCAGGTTTATTATTAGCTTTTAACATTCCTAAACTGATAAGCAGGCTGGAGACTAGATCCAGATAAGAAAAAGTTTGTTAGTACAAATTGGGATATGGTTTCTCTCTTTTGTGAACTCCAAACAACCTTTTTCCGTACAATTTACGCCCCTTCTGACGTCAGGCCTCATTTTAATGAACATGTGTGATACAGGTAGTCCTCAACTTACAACCACAATTGAGCCCAAAATTTCTGTTGATAAATGAGAAATTTGTTAAGTGAGTTTTGTGTATACATATGTATATGTCTGTGTGTTTGTGTATATATATGTATATGTATATATGTACATATATATCTATCTCTATATATAGGTATAGTAGTATAGCAAGTGTATATGTGTGTTATGTAAGAGGGCAATTTAGAAATAAACTTCCATTTGGTTATCCATGACAGACACTCGCACATACAGAACTTTTATTATACACATTTGAAAACTACAGCATTAGATTACTTTTCGACATAATTGCCATTTAAATTGAGGCACATGTCATAACGTCTCACAAGGGTTGAAATTCCTTAGTAGTAGTCACTCGATGCCAAATCTGGACTGGGGGCGGGGAGATCAAGAATATCCCAACGGAACTGCTTCAAAGGTTCTTGGGTGTGTCGTGAACCAAGGCCACATCGGAAGTCATCAGGCCCCGACGCTTGTTATGGATGGCTCGGCTGAGTTTTTGTAATGTTTCACAGTTGAATTGATAGTCAAACCATACTCCATGGACTTCACTAACCATACTCCTTTGGCATCTGGAAGTTTTTAAGAAGAGACTGGACAGCCATTTGTCTGAAATGGTATAGGGTTTCCTGCCTGAGCAGGGGGTTGGACTAGATGACCTCTGAGGTCCCTTCCAACTTTATTATTATTATTATTATTATTATTATTATTATTATTATTATTATTATTATTACTATTACTATTACTATTACTATTACTATTATTATTATCTTCACATTTGGTGGGATTTTCTATGGCACCACATCCGGTGTGGTGTTGTTTCACGACAATGTTTGCCCGCACACCGCTAGATGCACCCAAGAACTTTTGAAGCAGTTCCCTTGGGATGTTTTTGATCACCCCCTTCCCATAGCTCAGATTTAGCGCCGAGCAACAAACAACTAAGGAATTTCAAACCTTGTAAGACGTTATGACACGTGTCTCAATTTGAATGGCGACTGTGTCCAAAAGTAATGTCACGTTGTAGTTTTCTAATGTGTATAATAAAAGTTCTGTATCTGCGAGCGTCTGTCATGGATACCCAAACGAAGTATCATATGTGTATGGGTAGATATATATACTTTCTTTTGAGTGCAGGCAACAGAATTTCATTTAATTTAGTTTAATGAAGAGAAGGACGAGGGGGGACATGATAGCAGTGTTCCAGTATCTCAGGGGCTGCCCCAAAGAAGAGGGAGTCAAGCTATTCTCCAAAGCGCCTGAAGGCAGGACAAGAAGCAATGGATGGAAACTGATCAAGGAGAGAAGCAACCTAGAACTAAGGAGAAACTTTCTGACAATTAACCAGTGGAACAACCTGCCTCCGGAAGTGGTGAATGCTCCAACACTGGAAGTTTTTAAGAGGCTGGACAGCCATTTGTCCGAAATGGTATAAGGTTTCCTGCCTGAGCAGGGGACTGGACTAGATGACCTCCAAGGTCCCTTCCAACTTTATTGTTATTGTTGTTGTTGTTATTGTTATTATTATTATTATTAATGTGGGCCAGCATACTCATAGTAAAAAATGACAATAAAGGTTATCTTATCTAACTTAGAACTGAGGAGAAACTTCCTAACAGTGAGATAGAGCAAATTAATCAGTGGAACGACTTGCCTCCAGAAGTTGTGGGTGCTCCATTACTGGAGGTTTTTCAAGAAGAGACTGGACAGCCTTTTTCACTGGAATGGGATAGATTCCAGCATCTCTTTCTTTTATCCCCCAAGGTCACTTCCACATACCATTGTAGACACACACAAGAGCTTAATTTAAAGATAACATGCAGCTTTTGATAGAGAATCCCAGCAAAATGGTGTCTTTTCAGAATGGCTGAACTTTATCAGTGTAGGACACGGGTGTTAAAGTCACCATATCACGTGACATGTCATGACTTTTTTTTGCATTGCCGGAGCTGAGTGGCAACGGTGTTACCAGACTCCTTATTTTAGGAATTAAAAAATAGGAAAACATCTGAATTGAAGCGATTGATTTGAGACCAGGCAGCTCACTCTGGATTTTCAAGGTTTCTATTTGTTTAAATGCTTCCAAATAGTTTAGCCATCTCCCTCTTTAAAGGAGGGATGTGCAAAACATTGTGCTTGCTCTAATGCAGGGATAGGCAACCTTGGCTCTTTTATGACTGGTGGACTTCAACTCCCAGAATTCCTGAGCCAGCATGGCTCAGCTTGGAAACCTCTCCCTTTCCCCTCAGCATGGCTGGCTCAGGAATTCTGGGAGTTGAAGTCCAGAGTCATAAAAGAGCCAAGGTTGCCTACCCCTGCTCTAATGGGTCAAGCCACTGAAAGATGCTTTTCAGTTTATCCTTGCTGACCCCAAAAATGAAGAGTTGAATTTTTACATTATTATTATTTTGGTCTGTCACACAGCCAGCCAAATGTTCAGACCAGATTTGGCATTTTTGTATGTCTAGAACAGGTTATCCTTGATTTATAACAGTTCATTTAGTGACCCAGTTAACAATGGCACTCAAAAAAGTGACTTATGACTGCTTTTTCACACCTGCGACCGTGGCAGCCTCCCCCGTGGTCATATGATCAAAATTTGGATGCCTGGCAACAATCTCATATTTAGGACTGCCTGTGTTGTTTTGGTACCCTTTAGTATTTTTTTATTGTTTGGAGGCCTTTGAGTCACTTGTAGGTTTATTTATTTAGGGCCCAGGGGTAGTCCACCTTGGCTCTTTTATGACTCGTGGACTTCAACTCCCAGAATTCCTGAGCCAGCTTAGCTGGCTCAGGAATTCTGGGAATTGAAGTCCACGAGTCATAAAAGAACCAAGGTGGACTACCCGATTTAGGCGACTGGTGACTCTCTCTGGATTCATCCCCCACCATTTTCTGAGCAACATTTTTTGAAAGGGGTTTGTCATTGCCTTTTTCTTAGGGCTGAGAGTGAGTGACTGGCCCAGGGTTCACCCAACTGGTTTTGTGCTTCAGAATGACGTGCTCTTTTCTGAGTTGGGCACTGGGGCCACAACACAAAGAACCCGGAGCAGGACAAAAGCTAAAAGCGATACCGACAAAGTTACACCGACGTTTTAATTCATGCCCACTTTCCGTTTAACAGTTCCCTTCGTCTCCTGCTGAACATCACAAATCGGGCCTCAGAGCTTTGGGAGGTGTTGAGGGGCAACCAGCTTCAATTCACCTTTTCCCTCTTGTTGTTGTTGTTAGTTGCGAAGTCGTGTCCGACCCATCGCGACCCCATGGACAACGTTCCTCCAGGCCTTCCTGTCCTCTACCATCTTCTGGAGTCCATTGAAGCTCACGCCTCCTGCTTCAGTGACTCCATCCAGCCACCTCCTTCTCTGTCGTCCCCTTCTTCTCTTGCCCTCCATCTTTCCCAGCATTAGGCTCTTCTCCAGTGAGTCCTTCCTTCNCCATACTCCATGGACTTCACTAACCATACTCCTTTGGCATCTGGAAGTTTTTAAGAAGAGACTGGACAGCCATTTGTCTGAAATGGTATAGGGTTTCCTGCCTGAGCAGGGGGTTGGACTAGATGACCTCTGAGGTCCCTTCCAACTTTATTATTATTATTATTATTATTATTATTATTATTATTATTATTATTATTATCTTCACATTTGGCGGGATTTTCTATGGCACCACATCCGGTGTGGTGTTTCACGACAATGTTTGCCCGCACACCGCTAGATGCACCCAAGAACTTTTGAAGCAGTTCCCTTGGGATGTTTTTGATCACCTCCTTCCCATAGCTCAGATTTAGCGCCGAGCAACAAACAACTAAGGAATTTCAAACCTTGTAAGACGTTATGACACGTGTCTCAATTTGAATGGCGACTGTCTCCAAAAGTAATGTCATGTTGTAGTTTTCTAATGTGTATAATAAAAGTTCTGTATCTGCGAGCGTCTATCATGGATACCCAAACGGAGTATCATATGTGTATGGGTAGATATATATACTTTATTTTGAGTGCAGGCAGCAGAATTTCATTTAATTTAGTTTAATGAAGAGAAGGACGAGGGGG